TTAGATGTGTTTTAGATGTGTTTTAGATTTGTTTTAGATGTGTTTTAGATGTGTTTTAGATTGTGTTTTAGATTTTTTAGATTTGTTTTAGATGTGTTTTTAGATTTTTAGTGTTTTAGATGATTGTTTTAGATTTGTGTTTTAGATTTGTTTTAGATGTGTTTTAGATTTGTTTTAGATGTGTTTTTAGATGTTTTTAGATTTTTTAGATGTTTTAGATGTGTTTTAGATTTGTAGATTTTTTTAGATGTTGTTTTAGATTGTTTTAGATTTTGTTTTAGATGTTTTAGATTTGTTTTAGATTTGTTTTAGATGTGTTTTAGATTAGTTTTAGATTTGTTTTAGATTTGTTTTAGATGTGTTTTAGATTTGTTTTAGATTTGTTTTAGATGTGTTTTAGATTTGTTTTAGATTTGTTTTAGATTTGTTTTTTATATTTGTTTTAGATTTTTTTAGATTTGTTTTTAGATTGTTTTAGATGTGTTTTAGATGTGTTTTAGATGTGTTTTTAGATTTGTTTTTTTAGATGTGTTTTAGATTTGTTTTAGATGTGTTTTAGATGTGTTTTAGATGTGTTTTAGATTTTTTTTATATTTGTTTTATATTTGTTTTAGATGTGTTTTAGATGTGTTTTAGATTTGTTTTAGATTTGTTTTAGATTTTTTAGATTTGTTTAGATGTGTTTTAGATGTGTTTTAGATTTGTTTTAGATGTGTTTTAGATGTGTTTTAGATGTGTTTTAGATGTGTTTTAGATTTGTTTTAGATGTGTTTTAGATGTGTTTTAGATTTGTTTTAGATTTGTTTTAGATGTGTTTTAGATGTGTTTTAGATTTGTTTTAGATTTGTTTTTAGAGATGTGTTTTAGATGTGTTTAGATGTGTTTTTAGATTTGTTTTAGATGTGTTTTTAGATGTGTTTTAGATGTGTTTTAGATTTGTTTTAGATGTGTTTTAGATTTGTTTTAGATGTGTTTTAGATGTGTTTTAGATTTGTTTCAGATGTGTTTTAGATATGTTTTAGATGTGTTTTAGATTTGTTTTAGATGTGTTTTAGATTTGTTTCAGATGTGTTTTAGATGTGTTTTAGATTTGTTTTAGATGTGTTTTAGATGTGTTTTAGATTTGTTTTAGATGTGTTTTAGATGTGTTTTAGATTGTTTTAGATTTGTTTTAGATTTGTTTTAGATGTGTTTTAGATTTGTTTTAGATGTGTTTTAGATGTGTTTTAGATGTGTTTTAGATTTGTTTCAGATGTGTTTTAGATATGTTTTAGATGTGTTTTAGATTTGTTTTAGATGTTTTTAGATTGTTTTAGATTGTTTTAGATGTGTTTTAGATGTGTTTTAGATTTGTTTTAGATTTGTTTTAGATGTGTTTTAGATGTGTTTTAGATTTGTTTTAGATTTGTTTTAGATGTGTTTTAGATTTGTTTTAGATGTGTTTTAGATGTGTTTTAGATGTGTTTTAGATGTGTTTTAGATTTGTTTTAGATTTGTTTTAGATGTGTTTTAGATTTGTTTTAGATGTGTTTTAGATGTGTTTTTAGATTTGTTTTAGATGTTTTTAGATTTTTTAGATTTGTTTTAGATGTGTTTTAGATTTGTTTTAGATTGTTTTAGATTGTTTTAGATGTGTTTTAGATGTGTTTTAGATGTGTTTTAGATGTGTTTTAGATGTGTTTTAGATGTGTTTTAGATTTGTTTCAGATGTGTTTTAGATGTGTTTTAGATTTGTTTTTTAGATTGTTTTAGATGTGTTTTAGATGTGTTTTAGATTTGTTTTAGATGTGTTTTAGATGTGTTTTAGATGTGTTTTAGATTTGTTTTAGATTGTTTTTAGATGTGTTTTAGATTTGTTTCAGATGTGTTTTAGATGTGTTTTAGATTTGTTTTAGATGTGTTTTAGATTTGTTTTAGATGTGTTTTAGATGTGTTTTAGATTTGTTTTAGATTGTTTTAGATGTGTTTTAGATTGTTTTAGATTTGTTTTAGATGTGTTTTAGATTTGTTTTAGATGTGTTTTAGATTTGTTTCAGATGTGTTTTAGATGTGTTTTAGATGTGTTTTAGATTTTTTAGATTTGTTTTAGATTGTTTTTAGATTTGTTTTAGATTTGTTTAGATTTGTTTAGATTGTTTTTTTTTGTTTTAGATGTGTTTTAGATTGTTTTAGATTGTGTTTTAGATGTTTTTAGATTTTTTAGATTTGTTTTAGATGTGTTTTAGATTTGTTTTAGATTGTTTTAGATTTGTTTTAGATTTGTTTTAGAGCGACTCCAGAGGTGAGCGCAGAGGAGTTGGCCCGGGGCTGGAGTCGCTCTAAAACAAATCTAAAACAAATCTAAAACAAATCTAAAACAAATCTAAAACAAATCTAAAACAGGTCTGTTCTGTTGGGGGCAGCTCAAAGGATCCTCCGCCTCAGTGCTCCTCAAGCTCTGTAACTCCACAGAGCCTCCACGGGTTTATGAACAACAATATCTCAAGGACTGGGGCTGCGGCGGAGCAGCATGGTTTAGTCCTGGTTTAGTCCTGGTTAAGTCCTGGTTTAGACCTAGTTTAGTCCTGATTTATTCCTGGTTTAGTCCTGGTTTAGACCTGGTTTAGTCCTGGTTTAGTCCTGGTTTAGACCTGGTTTAGACCTGGTTTAGTCCTGGTTTAGACCTGGTTTAGTCCTGGTTTAGTCCTTGTTTTAGTCCTGTTTTAGACCTGGTTTAATCCTAGATTAGTCCTGGTTTAGATCTGGTTTAGATCTTGTTTAGTCCTGATTTAGACCTGGTTTAGTCCTGGTTTAGACCTGGTTTAGTCCTGGTTTAGATCTAGTTTAGTCCTGATTTATTCCTGGTTTAGACCTGGTTTAGACCTGGTTTAGTCCTGGTTTAGACCTGGTTTAGTCCTGGTTTAGTCCTTGTTTTAGTCCTGTTTTAGACCTGGTTTAAATCTAGATTAGTCCTGGTTTAGATCTGGTCTAGATCTTGTTTAGTCCTGATTTAGACCTGGTTTAGTCCTGTTTTAGACCTGGTTTAATCCTAGATTAGTCCTGGTTTACATCTGGTTTAGATCTTGTTTAGTCTTGATTTAGAGCTGGTTTAGTCCTGGTTTAGACCTGGTTTTAGTCCTGTTTTAGACCTGGTTTAATCCTAGATTAATCCTGGTTTTAGACCTAGTTTAGTCCTGATTTTAGTCCTGGTTTAGTCCTGGTTTTAGTCCCGGTTTTAGTCTTGGTTTAGTCCTGTTTTAGATCTGGTTTAGACCTGGTGTAGTCCTAGTATAGTCCTTGTTTAATTATGTTTCAGTCCTGGTTTAGTGCTGGTTTTATTCTGTTTTAGTTCTGGTTTAGTCCTGGTTTAGTCTTGGTTAAATCCCGGTTTAGTTCTGGTTTAGTCCTGGTTTTAGTCCTGGTTTAGAGATGCGTGTGGGGGAGGGGGGGTCTGTGGTCCGGGGTTGGGGGTTTGGGGACCTTGTGCTCTCCAGTGTTTGGGGTGAGTTTAATAGACTCAGGTGACGTCACAAATGTTTAATGGTTTTAAATTGAGAAACAGGTGAGAGTCTCAGGTGGAGTTTGTGTGAATCTGTCAGATCACAGATTTGTTGACCTGGTTTATGGTTCATATTTCTGTAATTACTGGAACTATCCACATGAAACAAAACCTGACACAAAATGTAAAGACGTCTGTCTTTAAATAAAAAAAAGTGAAATTATCTTTTCACATCAGCTTCAGAAAGTAGAGAGAAAAGTTTGTGGAGCCGATTCCCCAAATAATGAGAAGGACAAACATTTGTTGGTTTGGAGATTTCTTTCAAAAAACAGCGACACTCCTATAGAGTTATAAAGGCCAGTGCCAGGGTTCGATATCATTGAGAAGCTGCCGATACGATACAAACATCGATACAGTGCACTTTCGATTCAATACGATACATTTCAAATCGATTCAATATGGTTCAATAAAAAATAAAGGTTAAATCATGTCTTTGTTAAACCACTTCTTGTGCAAAGTTCATATGAAACACAAACATTTTAATCATCAAAACAGTGAAAATGTCAAATGTGTCAAATAAACGAGTTTCCTTCCTCTAAATAAGCAACAAAACTGTAGCGAGGGTCGTGCAAAAAATATCAAAATATCAATATATCGTATCGTTTAATGTGATGATACAGTATCGATATCGTGGGCAAGAGGTGGGAACAAGTCTTTGTTTTGTAAATCTCAAGTAAGTCTCAAGTCTTTGACCTCAAGTCCGAGTCAAGTCCCAAGTCAAATACAGGTAAGTCCAAGTCCAGTCTCGAGTCACTGGTCCATAAGTCCAAGTCAAGTCCAAGTCGTCTGATTTGAGCTTCAAGTCTTTTCAAGTCTTTAAACCAAAGTATCAAATATAGTTTAGATTTTTGCAATTTATATGAATTTTAAACTAAATTGTCACGGTATATTTATATAAGAGTATTTATAGAGTTGTAGAAATTAATTTAGTTAATTTTTCCTTTTTAAATGTCTTGACAAGATCTTACTGTGAGTCATTACAATCAGAATAGAAAGAATTAAGATTTAAAAGTGCTTCCCAAGTCACAGGTCTCAAGTCTTAGTCCATTTTATCAAGTCAAGTCTCAAGTCCTAAAAATACGACTTGCAAGTCCCACCTCTGTCGTGGGCTGCTGTATCGATGTATCACCAAGAGTATTTTTTTGGTATATTTTACTAAAGTATTTTGTCACAGCTACAGTTTTGTTGCTTGTTTAAAGGAAGGAAACTCGTTTATTTGACACATTTGATATTTTCACTGTTTTGATGATTAAAATGTTTGTGTTTCATAAGAACTTTGCACAAGAAGTGAGTTAATGAAGACTTTCAGTATCACAGCCACAATTTAACCTTTATTTTTTTGTAACCATATCAAATCGATTTGAAATAGATCATATTGAATTGAAAGTGCACTGTATCGAGGTATGTATCATATTGGCAACTTCTCACTGATACTCAGCTCTACTGTGTGTGTTTTACTCACTGTGTTTACACTGTTTACAGCCTTCGTCACAGGGGACACACACCTCTCCCCGGGCGTCTGTCACCTCACCTGGACAAGAGAAAAGAGTTCAGATCAGACCTTTAAACCTGCTCTGGACCCGGCTTAGATCCTCGTCTACATTTCCATAGCAAGTCCGAGTCAAGTCAAGTTTATTTATGGGTCGGTCAAGTGGTAACGGAGGGAAACGGGCAGATTTTTGACATTCAAATGTCTCTTATTCAGAAACTAGAGGGACTATTGAAATAAGTAAAGTATCAGAATGTAGGAAAGAGTTACACTCCAACAGGGTCAAGTTAAACCTGTGATATTCTTTCAAGTTGTTGACAAAAAATTAAAAAAACTCATGTCGGCAACGGAGGGAATGAAATATGCAGCACTTTTTGGGCAATAAATACAAACAGTGATTTGTATTTGTAAACAGTATTTGCTTCATATGGTTTTCTACCATATGGTACAAGATTAGGTTGAAAAACCTCTTACTTTTTGACTCATGAGATTTTTTATTAAGAAAGGTCATGGTAACGGAGGGAAAAGTAACGGAGGGAAAATTGTACAAACAAGTAGAAGGTGCAGGATTTTGTATAATTTGTCAGTTTTTTTCTTTCGAATACTTTAATATTACTTCAAAATGAAAGGAAACTATTTCTATCAAATATGTCAGTCCTTCCAAGAACATTTTTATCATTTTAAATACTTTTTTTTTAATACTGTACCTTCATCAACAGTTCAAAGATCAAATAACACAAGATATGATGAAATACATCCATTTATTTACATGATTTGCAGGTCTTTGAAATTTGGGAAATAATTTTTGTTCCATGTTTCATACATGGTCTGTTTAAAACGTCTGGAACTTTAGAACCAAAAATGGTACAGAAAAAAGGTCAACAGTTTCATAAACTAGAGAACATATGTATCTGTTCAATATATTTTTATATCAGATGCATTAACCTAAATTTTTGGCCTTGCTGTTTACTTCTGCTTGACCGGGCCTTTAAAAAACACATTTAAAAACAACTTCAGCTCACCAAAGTGCTTCATATAAAATTCAGCAAAATCATATACAGACACACAGATAAAGGGTTTCCACTATTTTTTACAGACAAAACTTTTCCATGACTTTCCAATTGCAAATTCCAACGATAATTGTTTGGGGGCCCCTCCAGGTTTGGGGGCCCTAAGTGGTCGCCTACTTTTGCCTAATGGTAGCGCCGCCTCTGCACATGACGCCTGTCCATAAACCGAGACTGAGACAAACTTGGACGTGTCTGTGTTGTGATTATAATCTGTTCCAGTTCAGGTTTAATTCTGTTTAGTCCCATTTTGATGTTCCGCGTGTAAATGTGAGAAAAAATGCATCTTAGTCTGACATTTGAGTTGTTTTGTTGTTGTTTTTTTCTTTTTCTTTGGACTTCTAGGAAATGTATGCTTAGTTTTCAGCTGATTGATGAGATTTAAGCTGTAAAAAGTTCAAGTTGTACGACTCATTACAGATGTAAACGAAATACTAAAGTGTTTCATTCTGCTGTTTATTTATTACAGCTCATGGTTTGTTTGTTTTTTTTAAACAATATTGTACATTTAGAATAGTTTAATGCTTTAAATCTGCTCTGTGGCATCAATTAGTTTCAGTATTATTGTTTATTTTCTATACTTTACAGTTTTTTGTTCTAAGACGACGTTTCAGGGAGAGAATTCTGGAGGTTTTGAGTTTTCACACGACGGCTGAACATAAACTGAGACTGAGACAAACTTGGATGTGTCTCTGTCTGCAGGTTAAAGCTCTGGAAACCCTGGTTTAGTCGTGATTATAATCAGTTCTAGATCAGGTTTAATTCTGTTTAGTCCCATTTTGATGTCGTAAGTGTGAGAAAATTGCAGCAAAATCTGACATTTCCATTGTTTTGTTTAGTTTCCTTTGCACTAGTTTTTGGCTGTATGATGAGATTTAAGCGGTAAAAAGTTGAAAGGACACATTACAGACTCATTCTGCTGTTTATTTGTTGCAGCTTTTTTGTATCTTGCAGTTTGTTTTTAGCAATATTGTAGATTTAGAATAGTTTTAGTGCTTTAAATCTCAATTAGATACAGTATTATTGTTTATTGTCTATATTTTACAGTTCATAGGTTGCAGTTTTTTGTTCTCTCAGTTAGAGAGTTCTGGAGGTTTTGAGTTTTCACACGACGCCTGAACATAAACTGAGACTGAGACAAACTTGGATGTGTCTCTGTCTGCAGGTTAAAGCTCTGGAAACCCTGGTTTAGTCGTGATTATAATCTGTTTTAGATCAGGTTTAATTCTGTTTAGTCCCATTTTGAATGTCGTAAGTGTCTAAGTGTGAGAAAAAATGCTGCAAAATCTGACATTTCAAATGAGATTTAAGCTGTAAAAAGTTGAATGATTAACTTGTAAGACTCATTATAGATGTAAACTAAATACTCAAGTGTTTCATTCTGCTGTTTATTTGTTGCAGCTTTTTTGCAGCTTGCAGGTTGTTGTTTTTTTTAACAATATTGTACATTTAAAATAGTTTTAGTGCTTTAAATCTGCTCTGTGCCATCAATTAGTTTCAGTATTACTGTTTATTGTCTATATTTTACAGTTTTTTGTTCTAGGTGACGTTTCAGGGAGAGAATTCTGGAGGTTTTGAGCTTCACATGAGTTCTGAACATAAACTGAGAAACTTGGATGTGTCTCTGTCTGCAGGTTTAATTCTGTTTAGTCCCATTTTGATGTCGTAAGTGTGAGAAAATTGCAGCAAAATCTGACATTTCCATTGTTTTGTTTTGTTTCCTTTGCATTACTTTTTGGCTGTAAATTGAGATTTAAGCCGTAAAAAGTTGAATGATTAACTTGTAAGACTCATTATAGATGTAAACTAAATACTCAAGTGTTTCATTTTGCTGTTTATTTGTTGCAGCTTTTTTGTAGCTTGCAGTTTTGTTTAGTTTTTTAACAATATTGTACATTTAGAATAGTTTTAGTGCTTTAAATCTGCTCTGTGGCATCAATTAGTTTCAGTATTATTGTTTATTTTCTATATTTTACAGTTTCCTGTTCAAGACGACGTTTCAGGGAGAGAATTCTGGAGGTTTTGAGTTTTCACACGATGGCTGAACATAAACTGAGACTGAGACAAACTTGGATGTGTCTCTGTCTGCAGGTTAAAGCTCTGGAAACCCTGGTTTAGTCGTGATTATAATCAGTTCTAGATCAGGTTTAATTCTGTTTAGTCCCATTTTGATGTTGTAAGTGTGAGAAAATTGCAGCAAAATCTGACATTTCCATTGTTTTGTTTAGTTTTCTTTGCACTAGTTTTTGGCTGTATGATGAGATTTAAGCGGTAAAAAGTTGATTGAGTAACTTGTACGACTCATTACAGACTCATTCTGCTGTTTATTTGTTGCAGCTTGCAGGTTTTTTTGATAATATTGTACATTTAGAATAGTTTTAGTGCTTTAAATCTGCTCTGTGGCCCCAATTAGATACAGTATTATTGTTTATTGTCTATATTTTACAATTCATAGGTTGCAGTTTTTTGTTCTAGGCGACGTTTCAGGGAGAGAATTCTGGAGGTTTTGAGCTTCACATGAGACTGAAACAAACTTGGATGTGTCTCTGTCTGCAGGTTAAAGCTCTGGGAACCCTGGTTTAGTTGCGATTATAATCTGTTCTATTTCAGGTTTAATTCTGTTTAGTCCCATTTTAATGTGGTGTGGTGAAAAAATGCAGTTAAGTCTGACATTTGAGTTGTTTTTTTGTTTGTTTTTTTGCAGTTTATACCATTCGCTGGGGAAAAATCCTTTTGTTTATTACGACCCGGGTATCTCATTTCCCGAGATACTGTACTGTACTGTGGACTTTAGACTGTATTTACACGTCACTGCGGCGTGGACTGACCTTTGGCGCACTGCAGCGGCACGCACAGCGCCCCCTTCAGCCTGTAGCCGGGCTCACAGTGCTGACAGAGCAGAGCGGAGGAGCAGGAGGCGCAGTGGTCGGGGCACAGCTCACAGCGACTGCGCGGGGAGTGGAAGTGACCCTCCGGACACGACAGACGACACTGACCCTCGAACAGGAACCGCGCCACCCCATGGACGTCTGAGGGAAGTGCAGGGACAGACACCAAAGAAAGTGTTAAGAGATATTCCACAACAGCAATAACAACAATATGTGTCCTTTGAGCTCATATCATATACAGCCGCTCCAGTATGGCTCCTGCACCGCTAATACTACGACTACTAATACTACTACTTTGATGAATTATCCAAAGTGACCGCAATTATATATAAATATAGATATACCCTAGATAAAAACAGTCTTTTTATTAAATATAACTCGCTGGTAATGACCTACATAACCTACGGTATTGAGATTTGGGGCAATACATATAAGACGAATACAAAGTCAGTCTTGCAAAAAAAGGCAATAAGAGCATCACATTATCAACTTATAACGAACCAACCAATGCATTATTTATAAACCTTCAAACGCTGAAATTTTATGATTTAGTCTTTACCTTTATACTCTGAAAATCATGTTCAAAGTAAACAACAATCTCCTGTCAAAGTCGTTACAGAACATGTTCAAAATCCGAAAGAGCCAATATGAGCTCAGAGGCACGACCGTGTTTATTAAAAAGAAAATCAGAACAAACATTAATGAAATTTTGTAAAATCTGTTAAAGGGGCGGAGCTGTGGAACAAACTGTACAGAAAACCTAAAATTGTGCACCACTTTCTTTCACTTCATAAAGAAGTTTAAATGTTTAACTCCGGACAGAAACATGAAATATGAGACTTAGTTTGTGCTGTAGAACTTTGTTGTTCTGTTACTGATTAGTTTGTTTCCTCCTGCTGTATTTATGAAGATGAACTGATGTCAAGATGAAGCTCTGACAAAGGAATAAAGAGTAAAGGCATAATAAGCTTAAGCTTCAGCCTGCACCTTTTCTGTCTGTGTATGTTAAATATGAATGTTTGTGAATTAATGTCAAAATATACCTGTGACCGATGACCAAATAAATAAATAAATAAATAATAAAATAAAACTTGTATCTAAGAAGAGATGCCAAATATATTTGTTTCTTCCTTGGACTATCGTGTGCATCAGAGTAAATCAGTCGAGCAAACTGAGCTTGGATGAATGTTTTCTTTATGATTTTTGACTGTTCACAGTTGAACGATTGGATTTTCATTGAGGCAAGTTGTTATTTTTGACTGGTTACTGGCTTGTGAAAAAAGATATACATATATAAAATTAAAAAGAAATTATTTATTTAAAATGTTGTTATTATTTTATATTTTGCTTGTTCCAGATTCAATGTTTAAGCAAAACTATTATTAAACATTTATTTTAATGAGAAAAGGTTTAACATCACATCTTGAAAGAAGAGAAAACATGCAGATGTTGTTGGAATTTTTCAATAAATATTTAGTTTGGCCGACGGCTTAATCCCAGTTTTTAATTTTGGCCTCTGTGATTTTGAGTTTGACACTCCTGCTTTACAGATTTGCCTGAAACATTCCCCAGTAGCGTTAAACTTATTTATCTTGGATTTATTTAATTACAGGTGTTTTTATTGCTTTAAAAAAACACAAGCAGGGTCAGCTCTCCGCAGATCTGACGTGTAACTTGGCTTGGCGGCGTTACTTTTTTACTTTTTACTCTTTACGAGAAGGTAACGAACCCAAAAAAGTGACTTCAGTGCACCGTTAATGTCAAACCTGTGAAGAGCGTTCGGTTCCTCTGCCTTTCTCCTCGTCTGTCTGTGGGAGGTGAGACCAGGTTGTTTTTCATTCGTGTCGTCTTATTGCATCATGTCTCATTAAACCAGACAGACTCTAATTAAAACTCTCACATCCTAACGAGTCTGAGCAGGACTAATTGAGTGAGTGCTCCTGTCTGCACTTCAGATCCTGGTAAACACGCGTCGTCGAAGCATCTCTGCGGCGCTCCGGCCCTTTTTTAGAACCAGATCAATTTGTGCTTTCAGACTTCTCGAAAAACAGGTGGAAAAGGCCGACGACTTAAAGGCTCAGAGGTTGTTGCTTGGCCAGGAATATTCCACAGTATTTCTTTAAACATACAAAACCGGTCAAAGGTTTTAGAACAGCCTAATTTTTCCAGTTATTTATTGCAATTCAAGTCGTGCAAGTCCAGTGAAGAGCTTTAAGTGGTACAAAGGTAAAAACTGAACAGCCAAAGAGATAAAAGATACAAAACACAAGTCCAAGTTCTGCCAAAACAACCTCAGGAAAAAAGAACAAGATAGTAAAATTAAAAACATGGAGTGTCCAGCACAGTGTCCAGACTTAAAGGGAGAGTCCAGAATTTTGGACATAGGACCTCATTTCTTAGGCCCCATCCACACTAGTTTGTATTCAAGTCATTTTCGTTGTAGATGCAGTGTTCAGTCACACTAATCCGACTGAAAACGGCACCAGAGACGGAACGATCTGGTGCCTCCAGCTCCCACGAATTCATCTGAGTACAGATCTGATCCGGCACCGTGTGGACGCCTGAAAACACTGATACACTGATGTAGTTCTCAAAGTAATTCACCGCCAAAACACTAAGAGGTTAGAATATATGTCCATTCATATGAACGTGTGTCTGTGTGTACGACCTGCAGACGTATAATCTCTGAAAAGTTTAACATGAATCATCTCCAACGTGATAGAAACACAGAACAGACTCACCATCAGCAGAACACCCCTCTGTCACAGAAAGAACACTCATATTCCACTGAGTCACTGTGTCCTTTAGTAGAAACAGAAGCTGAACCTCATCTTGGTCAGGACTAGTTTGATTCATCAGTCGTTTTTACTTCATGGAAACCGTCTGACCTCGCAGCATTAGGATTTGTTCACTCGACAGTAGGCAGGTACTTTTTTATTTAACTAATCGCTGCTATTTGGTCGTGACGTATGTAATGCGCTGCTAATGGGACTAAATGGTATATTAAGCTTTTCCCAAATCCTGTAGGAAGAAGGACAATAACGTCTTTCCTCTTGTTAAAATTCACCAAACATTCTCTTTGTTCTGGGTTTAAATCCTCGATCTCGGGAATCGTCGCCAACACAGAATGTATGACTCTTCGCTGATTGGCTGGTGCTCGGACTCGCACTTCAGGGGTTTTGCGAACCGTCTAGTGCAGGCATGTCCAAACTATGGCCCGTGGACCAAATGCGGCCCTCAGACAATTTTTTTCTTGGCCCTCAGGCTTCCAGGTGAATTGAGCGGAGGCACTAGGTGGCGCCAGCCTGACTAGGTCAAGACTCCCTGAGCTGTTGTAGGTGCAGTTGTGTGTCGTACCTTTGTCACAGCTGGTGCAGTTGTCGGGCCCAGCGTCCGTGCACTCGTGGCAGGTGTGGTGACAGGGGTAACACTGTTTGTCCAGGGTGTAGCGCCCCTTTGGGCAGCGGATGACACAGTGCCCTTCATCAAAAAACCTGCAAAGATGTGGATTTGTCAAGATTTTTAAGAGATTTGTGACAACCTTCTAACCTTCTAACCACAAAGATGAATTCTTGCAATATGTTTGAGTTGAAAAACTCTGGAGTCAATTTAAATCAAATAAAAGGTGTTTCCTGTTGGGGACAGCTCAAAGGATCCTCTACAGTGTTTGGGGTGAGTTTAATAGACTCACGTGACGCACAACATCATGGAATCTTTAATGGTTTAAAATTAAGAAAAGAGGTGAGAGTCTCAGGTGGAGTTTGTTGTGGAACTGTCAGATCACAGATTTGTTGATCTGGTTTATGATTCATATTTCTGTAATTACTGAAACTGTCCACATGAAACAAAACAAAACTGACACACAAGACTTCTCTGTCAGTATCAATAAACAAAAGTGAAATGATCTTTTCAGAGCAGCTTCAGAAAGTGGAGCCCTTTCACCCGACAACAACCACGTCTCTGGGGTTGAATAATGACTTTAAGACATAAGATTAATGTGACAAAAAAATTATGAGAAGGAGAAACATTTGTTGGTTTGGGGATTTCTTTCAAAACAGTGATTCTCGTGTAGAGTTACAAAGGCCAGTGCCTGTCAGCCCCAGGGCAGCTGTGGCTCCATAGTTCAAAGTTGGAGATGTGTATTTTACTCACTGTATTTTATATGGTATAGTTCAAAAACTCAAACAGAACACATCTGGCTGAGCTCCTGCAGCAGCACGAGTGACCAGCAGTTCAGACCAGACTCAGTCTGTCACAATAATCACTTTTTCTACCTTTCGTTCAATATGTGAAAGCTGAAACTTTTCTGTTGGGGCTCAGTATTTAAAGTGTGTACATTTTCTTTGCATTACTGAGAAATGTATGGTTAGTTTTTGGCTTTATGATCAGATTTAAGCCATAAAAGGTTGATTGAGTAACTTGTATGACTCATTACAGGTGTGAAATTAAAAGCTCATGTTTTTTGTTTTATTTTTTTAAACAATATTGTAGATTTAAAATAGTTTTAGTGGTTTAAATCTGCTCTGGGTTATTGTGTCTGTGGCATCAATTAGTTTCAATAATACTGTTTATTGTCTATATTTTATAATTCATAGGTTCCAGTTATAGGCGACAGTTTTGAGGACTTTACCATTCATAAGATATTATAATCACTTTTAAATGATCAGTTACTATGACAACAGTTGTATGGACGGGTGCGGCGATGTCCTGACCTGGTGGGGGGGCAGTGGATGCAGTCCTCCCTCTCGGGGCCGGAGCACTGCTGACAGGTGGCATCACACAGGTGGCACTGCCCGTGGGCACTCATGTACTCCCCTGAACACAAACACAAACTCACACCAGGGGGCGCTCATGTACTCCCCTGAACACAAACACAAACTCACACCAGGGGGCGCTCATGTACTCCCCTGAACACAAACACAAACTCACACCAGGGGGCGCTCATGTACTCCCCTGAACACAAACACAAACTCACACCAGGGGGCGCTCATGTACTCCCCTGAACACAAACACAAACTCACACCAGGGGGCGCTCATGTACTCCCCTGAACACAAACACAAACTCACACCAGGGGGCGCTCATGTACTCCCCTGAACACAAACACAAACTCACACCAGGGGGCGCTCATGTACTCCCCTGAACACAAACACAAACTCACACCAGGGGGCGCTCATGTACTCCCCTGAACACAAACACAAACTCACACCAGGGGGCGCTCATGTACTCCCCTGAACACAAACACAAACTCACACCAGGGGGCGCTCATGTACTCCCCTGAACACAAACACAAACTCACACCAGGGGGCGCTCATGTACTCCCCTGAACACAAACACAAACTCACACCAGGGGGCGCTCATGTACTCCCCTGAACACAAACACAAACTCACACCAGGGGGCGCTCATGTTCTCTCATCAGGGTTCCCACTTTTTTTCCCTGACAAAATTTCAGAACTTTTCCATGACTTTTTCAGGACCTAAAGTAAATTTTCCATGACTTTCTGGCACCTACATGTGTAGAATTGATCAGACTTTTAGGGCTAAATATGAAATGTGAACTTTTTCCACTCACCTTATGGTTTGGGATTATAGTTCAACATTCAAAATCCTGTCAGTGCATTTATTGTCGTCTCTTTTGAACAAAAGACGCAAATATTCAGAAATAATCTGAATATCCTAATGAGAATTTAACAAAGAAGTGTCAAACTCAAATTCACAGAGGCCAAAATTAAACACTGGGACTAAGTCGTTGGCCAAACTAAATATTTATTGAAAAATTTCAACAACATCTGCATGTTTCCTCTTCTTTCGAGATATGTAATGTTAAATCTTTTCTTATTAAAATAAATGTTTAATAATAGTTTTGCTAAAAACACTGAATCCAGAATAAGCAAAATATAAAGTAATAACATTTTAAATAAAAAATGTTTCTATAGTCTGTCTGTAGCTGACGGACTAAATATAATTATATCCTCCTGGGACCTGAAGAAAAAGTATTGCAATAGTATTTTTTTTTTTTTATGATTTTCTGTCTATTTGGAGGTAAATGAACACCTTAGCATTTAGATTTTGTTCATTGAGTTTTGATTTATAATTTTATAACATGTTCTCTGTAAAGGACGCAGGGGATGTTTTGGTGTTAAATCCACGTGAAATTAAAAACCTCACAAAAACAACTTTTTTCGATGACCAACATCTCTGACAAGCTTCTAAAGATGAATCAAAAGGTTTTTACACTTCCTTTTAATATCGTCACAAACTAACACCCAGTGAGTTTTTTTTTTTTAATCCTGGACATGATAGTGTCTATAATCCCTCAGACTTGTTTAGGCAGATGAATCTATTCCCCCCATGAAGAGTCTGTTCCAAAACACTTAAAACATAAACTGGTGAACTCAGTGTCCAATATAAAGGACACAAATGAATGAGCCGGGCCTCAGGAGGATATTACGGACCAAATTTGGCCCCCGGACCCGAGTTTGACATGTCTGATTTACAGTGTTGGGGAGTAACAGATTACATGTACCAGCGTTAAGTAATCAGATTACAAATTATGAGTAACTGTATTCAGTTACAGTTTTTACAGTTACATTTTGGGCTATATCCCCCCACCCCCTTTTTTTTTATTTTTATTTTTTAATCAGTAATTCCACTCATTGCCGGAAACTAAACCAGGTCTAAACCAGGACTAAAACCAGGTCTAAACTAGGTCTAAACTAGGATTAAAACCAGGTCTAAACTAGATCTAAACCAGGTCTAAACCAGGACTAAACCAGGACTAAAACCAGGTCTAAACTAGGTCTAAACCAGGACTAAAACCAGGTCTAAACCAGGACTAAACCAGCACAAAACCAGGACTAAACCAGGACTAAAACCAGGACTAAACCAGGACTAAAACCAGGTCTAAACTAGATCTAAACCAGGTCTAAACCAGGACTAAAACCAGGTCTAAACCAGGACTAAACCAGCACAAAACCAGGACTAAACCAGGACTAAAACCAGGTTTAAACCAGGACTAAAACCAGGTCTAAACTAGATCTAAACCAGGTCTAAACCAGGACAAAACCAGGACAAAAACCAGGTCTAAACCAGGACTAAAACCAGGTCTAAACTAGATCTAAACCAGGTTTAAATTGAGTCTAAACCATGACTAAACCAGGATTTAACAGGACTGAACTATTTTCTTTTATCAGACAAAACATCTTATGTTACAATATCCTCGTCTTTGCTTCTCTACAGCAAATCAAGTAATCCAAAGTATTCAGATTACTTTACTCACTTTAAGTAATTTAATGGATTACGTTACAAACTACATTCTGGTGTGTGTAATCTGTAATCTGTAGGGGAAACATTTTAAAAGTCGCCTTCCCAACACTGCTGATTTAACAGAACGCTGTAGTTGTGTGAAAGAGATACTAAAATTCAGACTTTTCCAAAACTTTCATTGAAATTACAAAATTCCATGACTTTTCAAGGCCTGGAAAATGATATCTTCAATTTCCATGACTTTTCCAGGATTTCCATGACCGTGGGAACCCTGCACTCTCCTGAACACACCAGGGGGCGCTCACGTTCCCTCCTGAACACTCACAATGTTTCAGACCAGGGACCAGAAGGAAAATGTGCTGAGAAAAGAAAAACTTTTTTTAAAAACAAGAAAATATCAAACCATAAGTGACACACAGTAGGTCCGAAATATTTCTGGTTAATTACACAATAAAACCAAATCAGTAACAGGAATCAAAAACAATAGTATTTATATTTAAAGTACCTATGAGACTTTAGAGTCGTTTCACTAAATACAGTTCACATAATTATACGTATGATTTTGCGTAACATTTAACCAGTGTTTTCCCAGTTTGACAATTTGTGGTTTTGTGGTTACTTCCTGATTGGAAATGATGACATCCCGTAACATTCCATAACCGTTGCCACTGAGACCAGACTGTTCGCCAACACGGGCCCAAAACACGTCTCATTTACAGTCGTCTCACAAATACGTACGACATTTGTATTTTGTTAAATTCTGTTTAACCGTCGGCTGAATTACACAACTTTTATTCCGATATTTCCTCACAAGCTGCTACTTGACTCTCGACTCGTGAAAACATTTACACAAGTATTAAACCGCAAAACCAAGTCAGAATTAGGAAAAATAGAAAAGTGTCTTACGCACTTTGAGATAAAAAAAAACAAGCTGGTATTTATGTTTCTGATCACACTGGCAGCATGTTATAGTTTTAAGTGCAAAATAGAAAATAAGGCGCAGCCCCTCCCTCACCCCCCATTCCCCGGAGTTAAAACATTTCCAGCGCCTCTGAAAACTCTGATGATTCTCTTGTTGCAGATGCACGTGTGTCTTGGTTGTCGTGTGGATATAGTGTGTGTAGTGGGAGAAGTGACATTTGGTTTTGGAACAAGTGTCGCTGCATCTCTTCAGCTCTCACTGTGGCAGCTCGAGTCAGAGTCCTGCACCAGGTCGGGTCAGAGTCCTGCACCAGGTCGGGTCAGAGTCCTGCACCAGGTCGGGTACTTGTGGACTTAAGAGAGAGAGAACCCTGAGCCAGTGGAGCGGGTGCGATCAGGCGACGGCCACACTTACTTACGCACCTTAGTCCTAGGTTAGTCCTGGGTTAGTCCTAGGGTTAGTCCTGGGGTTAGTCCTAGGTTAGTCCTGGGTTAGTCCTGGGTTAGTCCTAGGTTAGTCCTGGGTTAGTCCGGGGTTAGTCCTAGGTTAGTCCTAGGTTAGTCCGGGGTTAGTCCGGGGTTAGTCCGGGGTTAGTCCTAGGTTAGTCCGGGGTTAGTCCGGGGTTAGTCCTGAGTTAATCTTGAGTTAGTCCAGGGTTAGTCCTGAATTAATCCTGGTTTAGTCCTAAATTAGTCCTGAGTTAATCCTAAATTAATCCTGAGTTAATCCTGAGTTAGTCCTGGTTTAGTCCTAAATTAGTCCTGTGTTAATCCTGACTTAGTCCTGAGTTAATCTTGAGTTAGTCCTGGTTTAGTCCTGATTTAGTCCTGAGTTAATCTTGAGTTAGTCCTGGTTTAGTCCTGATTTAGTCCTGATTTAGTCCTGAGTTAATCTTGAGTTAGTCCTGGTTTAGTCCTGATTTAGTCCTGAGTTAATCTTGAGTTAATCTGAGTTAGTCCTGGTTAGTCCTGATTTAGTCCTGAGTTAATCTTGAGTTAGTCCTGGGTTAGTCCTGAATTAATCCTGGTTTAGTCCTGGTTTAGTCCTTAGTTAGTCCTGGGTTATCACGGGCGGTAATGAGTGGAATGTTAACGGGTGTGGGCAGGTGCAGGACTCTGGGTGGGGTCATGTTGGTCACGTGTGGTGATCGCTGTGGCCCAACGTGCACCACATTGATTCAGTAACTATATTCCCTGACTGTACAGGATGACTCCATCGTCAGACACTTCCACCAGGACTAAACCAGGTCAGAAACCGGGACCAGACCAGGACCAAGACCAGGACTGAACCAGGACTAAACTGGTCTCAGTCCCTGTCTCAGTCCTGGTCTGGTCCTGGTCTGAGTTCTGGTTTAGACCTGGTTCAGTCCAGCATCATAGTTTAAGTCATGGAAATGGGAAATGGTCGTTATCTGTTCTTTTTTCATTTTGGTTTTGGTGAAAAATAATGAAGAAAATAGTTGTTTTTTTTCATTTTCTTATTTTTGGTCTTATTTGGAAAAACAAATGAACGAATGACACATGGATTAATAATGATTATTATGTTACGATTCTGTTAAAATCAGTTTCAAACTGACTCGTCCATTGTAACATGAAAGTGGAGAATATTTTGACAGTTAAAATAAATCTGACAATCAGACACTATTTCGATGGTGTTTTTTTGTTTAAAAGTAAAACTACTCTTATTTAATGTCATACTGAGAGAAAATCAAATTGCTCTGAGGCTTCATCCATTAGTGGGGGCCCCTCCAGGTTCAGGGGCCCTAGCCAGCCGTCTCCTTTTGCCTAATGGCAGCTCCGCCTCTGCCTGAGACGCTCCCAGGTCCCTGCAGCGTGTCCTTCGTCCTCCTCAGATCTCCTTCTGGTGACCAGTGTTGGGAAGGTGACTTTTAAAATGTTTTCCCCTACAGATTACAGATTACACACACCAAAATGTAGTTTGTAACATAATCCATTAAATTACATGAGGTGAGTAATGTAATCTGAATACTTTGGATTACTTGATTTGCTGTAGAGAAGCAAAGACGAGGAAATCTTCACATAAGATGTTTTATCTGCTAAAAGAAAATGAAAAGCCCAGACTTTACTGAACCAAATTAAAAATATTATTGATAGAAGACGAGGAGACACGGTTCACGCGGCATGATTTAGTCCTGTTAAATCCTGTTGGGGCGGCAGTAGTTCAGTTGGTGGAGCATTCGCCCACTGATCTGAAGGTT